TGGGGACAGACACCCCAGATTGGGGACAGACACCCCAGATTGGGGACAGACACCCCAGATTGGGGACAGACACCCCAGATTGGGGACAGACACCCCAGATTGGGGACAGACACCCCAGATTGGGGACAGACACCCCAGATTGGGGACAGACACCCCAGATTGGGGACAGACACCCCAGATTGGGGACAGGACCCTCAGACTGGGGACAGACACCCCAGATTGGGGTCAGGACCCTCAGACTGGGGACAGACACCCCAGATTGGGGACAGGACCCTCAGACTGGGGACAGACACCCCAGATTGGGGACAGGACCCTCAGACTGGGGACAGACACCCCAGATTGGGGACAGGACCCTGGGACTGGGGACAGACACCCCAGATTGGGGACAGGACCCTCAGACTGGGGACAGACACCCCAGGACCGGGGTCAGGACCCTGGGATTGGGGACAGAAACCCCAGATTGGGGACAGGACCCTCAGACTGGGGACAGACACCCCAGATTGGGGTCAGGACCCTGGGATTGGGGACAGGACCCTCAGACTGGGGACAGACACCCCAGATTGGGGACAGGACCCTGGGATTGGGGACAGACACCCCAGATTGGGGACAGGACCCTCAGACTGGGGACAGGACCCTGGGATTGGGGACAGGACCCTGGGATTGGGGACAGACACCCCAGATTGGGGACAGGACCCTGGGATTGGGGACAGGACCCTCAGACTGGGGACAGACACCCCAGATTGGGGACAGACACCCCAGATTGGGGTCAGGACCCTGGGACTGGGGACAGAAACCCCAGATTGGGATCAGGACCCTGGGATTGGGGACAGGACCCTCAGACTGGGGACAGACACCCCAGATTGGGGACAGGACCCTGGGACTGGGGACAGCAACTCTGAGATTGGGGACAGAAACCCGGCATTGAGGTCAGGACCTCAGGATTGGGGACAGGACCCCCAGGATTGGGGACAGGACCCCCAGGATGGGGTCGGGACCCCTGAGATGGGGTCAGAAACCCCAGGACTGGGGACAGAACCATCAGGATTGGGGTCAGAACCCCAGATTTGGGTCAGGAACCCCAGGATTGGGGTCAGAACCATCAAGATTTGGGTCGGGACCCCAGGATGGGGTCAGGACAGGAGTCACAAGCCAGGTCAGGACCCCTCAGGTGTCACAGCCATTCCCTGGGAATGTCCCCTCCACCAGGGTTTGGGATGGGACCCTCCGGGACGGCTCCTGTCCCCTCTGGGATGGCTCCTGTCCCCCCAGGATGGCTCCTGTCCCCCAGGAGTGGCTCCTGTCCCCCCCCAGGAGTGGCTCCTGTCCCCTCCGGGATGGCTCCTGTCCCCTCTGGGATGGCTCCTGTCCCCCCCCAGGATGGCTCCTGTCCCCCCAGGAGTGGCTCCTGTCCCCCCAGGATGGGCTCCTGTCCCCCCGGGTGGCTCCTGTCCCCCCCGGGGTGGGTCCTTTCCCC